TGCTGTGCCATGTGGGCCAGCTCCCTGGCTGGGGAGGTGAACTCTTGCGGCAATAGCTTATAGCGCTGTGTCTCCAACCCTGCACCACGGGATTCCCTACTTGGTGAACTTTAGACAAAAATCCTAGACTGTCAGATTTGGTAGGACTCAATCCTCTCCTGCCCTTATTTATAGAGGAGGAAACAACCCAGAGAGGGACAGTGACAGACTCAAGATTCGGCAGCAAGACAGAATCAAATTCTGATTTTATTAACACCTTTTAGGCTCCAAGGCAAGTGATCCTTGGAGCCTAAAAGAGGAATGTGGACTTGAATGAAAATGTCACCCTTAAGAATTAATAATAAGTGAACCAAAATCCTGTGCCTCTTCAGCCCTTGAAAAGCCCGGTCGATTCCTTATTTGACCACCAGGTGGCGCAGGGCACCAGAGAAAGGCCAGGGAACCAAGGTGGGTGGGCACCTTGCTGGCTGCAATCAATTTTCCTTAGCAAGTGGGAAATGGGGAGCCGGGAAAGCTGTGCCTCTCTGGGAAAGCAGTGGGGCAACGGAATACAAGACACATATGGAGAGTGGATTCTGTCTCAACCAAGGGGATGGCGTGGGGCAGGTGTTACAACTTCAACTCCCCTCTGCTGCTTTATCACACAATCTACTGACACCTGCGAAGGTAGCCTCGGCCTCGTGCAGGGGAGGTGAACGGATTCTGACAGCTTCACGGTCCAGCTTAAGCCTTGCAGCTTCTCCACACACTTGCTCAGTTCACATCACACAGGAAACTGGCTGTAAAGGCTCTGAAGCTGGGAATTCTGCATGTTTGGGCTCTTGAGGGATGCCGGAGAGGAGAAGGCTTGAGTAGCTGGGCTTTAGGGGTTTAACCAGGCTATTGGCTTTAAACTTCATCCTGGGGGCAGAAGGGAGTTATTGCAGGTTATTCAGCAGGGAAAAGACTTGGTGCAGAGGTGCTGAAAGTAATCACTCTGGGTGTGTGAAGGAGGGGTCGAGGGATTCAGAAGCTGAGCGGGTAGAGGTGCAGGCTGCTTGAGGTGAGGGCAATGGTGCCCAGTTTCCACCCACTCAGAGCTTCTGATCAGTGAGAGGCACCCCTGTGAAACCTGTCTTGCCCTTAAGATAGCTCTGAGGCCCTCCCTAGTGGCCTGGGGTAAAGTCTCAGGGCTACCAACACTGCAGAATGAGTTCCAACCTCAGCCAGGGAGCTGACCCACATTGTGCAGCAGACCTCTCCTGACCTACCTGCTGCTCCCCTCAGTATGTATTTCAGTAGATCTGCCTGTTCTGCTCCCTACTCTGTCCCTGGGGAATCCTCTCACCCCTCGAACCTCTGGCCTATATCCCAGTTCTTCTATGTAAACATAAATAAATAAATAAAATCTGTAAAAGAAAAAAAGATCATTCTGACAAAGTGAGGACCGCCCAGGGGCCAGGCAGTCCGTGGTCTCAGCAGTGTTTCCTAGCAGCCTCTTGACAGAACAGACAGCTTGGCAGAGAGAGGTAGGCTCCTGAGAGACAAGATTCTGAGTCAGGCCAGCGGGGAGAGGCTGTGCCTGATGGTGGGGAACCTGAAACAGTGTCAACAGACCTCTTTCCAGTGCCAGCTCTGACAGCTTTTAAGCTGTGTTTCCTTAGACAGGTTCCTTTGCTTCTCTGATCCTGTTTCCTCGCTCATAAAATGTGATTATAAAAAGGGTTCACCCTTTGAAGCTGTTGTGGGAACAGGAAACGGGTATAAAACTCAGCACAGTACTGTAGGAACACCCAGCCCATGCAGGGAAGCCTGTGCAGGGGGTTCCCACCCCACCCCACCCTAGTCGGGTCCTCCCTGCTCAGCAGCACCTGCGCGGGCAACCTGTGTGGCATCAGCTGAGTTAGGCTGCGGGAACTCCAGCCCCAGGCCAGGCAGCTGCCCCACCGGGCTGGGGCCACATTCCCTGGGAGGGCAGCACCGCTGTTTCTCTCTCTCTCTCTCTCTCTCTCTCTTTCTCTGTATAGCAGGGCTCTCAGGTAAGCTTCCCTTTTTTATGTGGTTAATTTCTTTCCTATTTTGTGGGTGCTTTAGTATTCCCAGAGTCCTGGTTATTGTGGAAAGTGTTCTGTATATACTTTTTCACATAATCTATTTTTTTTTTTTTTGCAGTCAGATGCTAGGAGTGGGGTGGGGGTGGCTGTGAAAGGATTCCCCAGAGACAGAGTGGGGAGCAGAACAGGCCGATTTACCAAAATACACTGCTGAGAGGAGCAGCAGGCCAGACAGGAGAGGTCTGCTGCGCCATGTGGGTCAGCTTCCTGGCCAGGATCTAACTGAGGTAACTCAGGCTGAAGTGGTGATAGCACTGAGATTTAACCCCTCAGCCCACTAGAGAGGCCCCTTTCATATAATCTTTACAGCAGTTCTCTTAGGGAGTCATTATGTATTATTATCTCCACCATTTGGATGGAGAAATGTTACTACCATGCACTGTATAGCTGGCTTGAGGAGGTTAGAATGTTCCTGGGTCTTGTGACACTAATACCTTTGCTCCTTATCACCACAGTTACCTGCCCACAGAACCGATATTCTGGGCAGGTAAGGATATACTGGGCAAATTAGGGCCTAGGTTGTCTCAGAATTAACCAATAAATAGGATGTCAAGGCTCGTGGCCATTAAGAGAAATAGCCACGTGACAAAGGCCTGGCCATTGTCACAAGACTGGATGGAGGCACAGTCAATCCTACTTGGTTGGCATCCTTTATCTGATACATGCCTCTGAGTGTTTAGTGTGGGGAGAATTTTGGCTCTCCCTAATCACTGACCTGATAATAGTTAATTCCTATAGAGAGTTTACCGTGGGAAGGTATTTTATAGGAACTGGAAATACCCTAGCTCACTTAATCCCACCAATGACCCTACAACGTGATTTTATTCTTTTATCATCCCATTTTTTAGATGAAGAAACAGGAGCACAGACAAGTGACTTAACTGCCTGAAGTCAGATTGTTAGTCGGTAGTTGAATGGGCTGTAAGACTACACAATCTGGCTCCAGGGTCTGCACACTTAATCATATTTTCCATATAATTTGTAACTCAGCTTATTTCCCTCTTTGCTTTGACTGCCAGGAAACTCAGAGCCATGGTTTTTGCTGTCAAGTTGCTAACCTTGGAAAACTTAGCCTAGCATTTCTGCTATAATTAGTCAATTTTTCATCTTTCTTCCCTCCTTCCCCTCTGACCTTGGGTGCAGCCTTTCATTATTTCTTGATTCTTGCTCTGTAATTACCCATCAAATAGGTTTGAGGCTGCAATGGAAACCACCTCAAAACCTCTTTTGGAACAGGCAGGACATAATGCATCAATGAGGTGAACAGAGACTCTTTCTGACCAGCAGAGCCAGCTGGACACAGTTTGTGTTTCCATCCAGCACTGGGTAACCAACACGACTCCATGATGTGAAGGAATAACAATAAACCCAAGCCAGCCCCTGTGTTAGGTAACCTATACTCACTGCTGCAACATAAATAACCTTGGATTTTATAAAAGATTATTTATTCATACAAGAAGGGGGGTGTAGGTCAGAGGTGTTGTGGGAGGTGAGGGGACTCACCAAAGACAGAGTGGGGAGAGAACAGGCAGATCCACTGAAATACACTGCTGAGAGGAGACTGGAGAGGTCTGCTGTGCCATGTGAGTCAGCTCCCTGGCCAGGATCTAACTTGTGCTGCAGTGGCTGGCCGTAGCTTGATAGCACAGTGTCTTTAACCACCAGGAAGGTCCCCCAGGATCCTGAGATTTTTGATGCCTAAATACAATAGAAGTTAGTGCAAAGTGTATCCTACTCAGTAGGCTCAGTGAGACCCAGGCATTTTGTACTAGAGTTCTGCAGTCTGTTGTGTGGCTTCCAAGGTCACCCTGGGGGTTGGCATCCAGTTGACAGATAGGAGAGAAAAGTGAGAGTTTTGAGACAACATGCACACTGAACTTGAATTTGTTACATGCATTGTCTCTGCCCCAGCCCACTGGACAGGGGACGCATCCTAGTGACAGAGCTGCAAGGGGTGCTGAAAATGTAGTCGGGGGCCCTCCCCAGGGGTGCAGCACGTTGGACCACAGCACTATGAGGCCATTGCAGTCACTGCAGTGTGGGTTCAATCCCCAGCCAGGGAGCTGACCCACATGGCACAGCAGATCTCTCCTGTCTCGCGGCTGCTCCCCTCAGCAGTCTGTTTCAGTGCATCTGCCTGTTCTGCTTCTGACTCTATCTCTGGTGAATCCTCTCACCTCTCCAAACTGTACCCCAGTTCTGCATATATAAATAAATAAATCTTTTAAAAAAGAAAGTGTAGTCTGGGCTGCTTTTTTGGGCAACAATACGACATGGGAGGGGGACATCTTTGGTGAACAGTTAACCTTGTTCCAGTTCGTGAGGAACTGACCAGGCCATCTACCCTTATACCATGGCTAAGAGCACCAAGCCATTCCTGTTGTGGCCAGGAGGAATAGCCTTCCCTCCTTTGCAAGAAACCACGAACAAAAGGGAGTATTTACAGTTTTAGATCAAAAATATTTGCCCAACAGGGGAATGGGCTAATGAGAGAAGAGGAATTCCCCACGATGGGAAGTATTCAAACAGAGGCTGAGTTTTCACTCAACTGAGCACGTCGGGCCAGGTGTGTCTACCTTTTACCCTCTGTGCTTGGCTCCATCACCATCTCTGTGCCAAGTTCACCAGGTGAGCTTTGGGGACCCACACACAAATGACATAAAGTTCTGGCTCTCAGGACTGCTTCAGTGAGGAAGCAAGAGGGCGGGGTTGGCTGAACTCCCAACAGAGAGGACTGGAGTTTAATTCCTAGCTCCACCGCCTTGTGGCTGTGTGGCATTGGAGAAAACACTTGGCTGCTCTGGTTACTGTTGCGCACTTAAAAAACAGGACCAGTAGTGGCTTTCAGAGGTTCTGAGGATTCCAAGACAAAACAGCACAGTGGCTGGAATGCAGCAAGCACATTATTTTACTGGTAGAATATGTTTATGATGACCTTGGGTAAGTCACTTGCTTCTCAGCCTCCTTCTCCTCCTCCTAGGCTGGAGTTTGTCAACTTACATCACGGGGTTGGAATCCTGCTGTGTGCCGGGGTCTGGCATCTGCCATTTCATCTGTGAGCTCGGCCAGGGTAAGTGGGTCGCATCGCACCGATGCACTCATAACAAGGAAAAGATTGGGGGGCAGTGAGCGCCGTGGGGCAGAGGAGGAGCCGGAGTCCGCAGGCACGCGGTTTCCTGGCCGCGCTCCCGGGGAAGGAGGCTTGCGCCGGGTCCCATCCCCCGGCCGCTCCTGCTCAGGAAACGCGGAGAGAAAGCCAGGAACCCGGCCTGCCAGGCCCCGGCCCCTCCGCGCCTGCCCTCCTCCTCTGCCCTGGGCTGCAGGAAGCCGGCTGGCGGGAACGCCCTGCCTGGTGGGTGGGAAGGGACCGCGCCGCGCGCCCGGCTCCCAGGCCCGGCGCGGCGCGAGCTGTCACTGCGGCAGCACCCCCTCCCCGCGCCCGCGCCCGCGCCCGGGTGCAGACGGCCCATTAGCATTTCTGGAAAGTGCCGCAGCCGATTCCTGGGCGGCGGGAGCCCAGCGCCTGAGGCCCGCGCCGCGGCCCAGCGGTCCGGAGCCCTCGCCGCCGCCGGGGCTGGCTGGGGAGGGAGAGGGGTCCCAGCCGCTCTTGCTCTGGGAGCTGATGAGACGCCGAGGCCCGAGGGTTTGTAGGTGAGTGGTCCAAAGTCGTGGCTAGGAAACTGCAAGGTCAGGCTTCTCTTGACGCCAAAGTTGTGCCTGGAGACTGAGGTCCAGGTGCTGGAGGGCTCAGGGGGGTTCAGGTTCTTGAGGAAGCTCAAGACAGGAGCTCTGAAGCTGGGGGCAACTGCTGGCCTCCCGGAGGCCTGGGGGCCCCTCGGTTTTGTGTGCAGCGTGTTTGTATTGCGTTTTCTTCAAGGTTTCAAAGGGGTCAGTGATCCAAAAAGGCTTAAGAAAGTAGAGACCCCAGGTTCTTCTGTGGGAACAGTGCCTTTGTGAGGGTTTTCTGTGGCTGTAGCATCTTGAGAAGCTATCTGTAGGGGCTTGCTGTGATGTTGGAGGGGCTTGGGGGCGTTACAGGAACCCAGGATTTTTTTTAACCTTGAAATTCCTTCTAAAATTTTTTCTGGGATCTATCTGGGGATTTGATGTCTCCATGGTGCCCGACATCCTTGTCTGAGGTTCTGAGAGTCCCCAGTCTAAGCTCCTGTATGGTGAGAGTTTAAACCTGGACCTCAGGATGTCTATGAGCCCTTTGAAATTGTAGACAAGATTTTGTGGGTCTGTATTTCTCCAGTGTCTGTAATTGCTGGAAGCAGTTTCATGGATTCACAGGGCTCCCGATCCCCCCAAATTGTGAAAAACAGGGCTTGCTCACATCTCATCAAGGAGATTCAGGGGGGCAATAAGCTGGATGGAGCAAAGAAAAGGCAGAGCATGGTCTTTGGAGTCTAGTGTTCCGGGGTTAAAATCTCAGTTTTCTACTTAACAGCTGTGTGATCTTGATCAAGTTTCTTAACCTCTCTGAGCCACAAGAAGGCCTGAGGCTTCCTCCAGAAAACCTTGTGTCTTTCAAATTCATTTAGTTCCTCACTCTATACCCACAAAGCTCTGATAGCACCTGGCCCCATCATTTTGGGCACTTAGTATGACGGTTACAAAGCAGTCAATTTTGGGGATGTTTTGTCTCTTCATTCCACCAATCCCAAAGACAGGGACCTTGGCTGGCCTGTGGTCCCTGCAGTGGCTGATTCATGTTAGACTTGCAGCCATTTGTTATGAAATAGAGAGTGAAGGATGGAGAGATGTATGCCAGGTACTGCAGCAGAGGTAGAAAGCATCAGAATGAAAAGGACCTTGAGGAGGTTCCAAGGAATAATGAGTCCATGCAAGGAAAACTGTCCTAAATGTGCTATGGGGGTAAACACAAAGACCAGCGGAAAGCACGGGAATCTAAAGATGAGTGAGTCTCAGTCCCCAAAGAGCTGACATAAGGAATTCCCTTCCTGTTATGTGTTAAACTTACAAAGCGCTTAGGAAGTTCTTCAAACTCCAGGTACACTCTGACCCTGGGAAGTGTTGTCGAGAAGGGCTCCGTGATTTGCCCTGGTGACAGTGGCTGTGAGTGCCTGGCTCACTTGCTTTGGAATTCAACCCTCACTCATTAGGAATTGTGCTTTTAATTTATTTATTAATTTGCTGTTAATTTATTTATTTTTGAGTAGAAGAACAGGGGTGTAGACCAGAGTTGGGGGTTGTGAGAAAGGACTTACTAGAGACAGAATAGGGAACAGGACAGATCTACTGAAATTCACTGCTGAGGGGAGCCCACTGCTTATTTTGGGCAAGGTCTCTTAGCTTTTTGAGCCTTGTTTTTGTAAGCTACAAGATGGAAGAACCCCCATCTTCCCCCCCCCCATCTATATGACAAAATATCTGTAAGGTACCTAGATTATTGTGTGGTTTGGTTTATGGTGAAGGACCTGTGTGTTTGTTGAATGAATGAATGAATGAATGAATGAAACACATATAATGTTGGGTGGCTTGAAATGGGAGCAGTCATATCATTTTGAGGATGTAGGAGAAATTGAGGGGGAATTGATCCCTTCCCACTCTAACTTTCTATGATTTCTGTGAGACTTTGCCCTGGCCTTAGTCATCTGGTGTCATAATTTATTGTTTGCAAACCAACAAAGTGTGTGCCCCAGACTGGTTAGCTTTCTCTTCATGTTTATCTTTACTGCCTTTTCCTTGATGTCCTAGTAATATATACACCTTGCTTTAAAAAAAAAAAAAAGAGAGAGAGAGAGAGAGCACAAAAACAAAACTAAGTTACAGAAAGAAAAATGAAAATGAAAATGTAGGCACAGTAGCTAGAAGATGCTGACATATTGTTATATTTTAGGAGGTGGGGAGGGAACTCTTCCTGGTTAAAAGTCTCTCCTTTGGACTTTGTCTTGCTTCTTTGGAGTTCTTTAGAAGTCCTGTCTATGGCTATACCTTTTAAAGTTCAAATGCAGCTAAAGAGAGGAGAAAATGAGGATTGTCTGGGCAGGGGCTTCCCTCATCTCCATGTGTCCAGAAGAATGCCATACAATGTGGACCTTGGCACCATGCATGGTTGGTCCAGCTCACTGCTGAGAGCCCTTGTAGCTGTGATTTCACCCACTTTCCTCCCTCTTAGCATCTAGGAGTCTGTTTTGGAAGCTCCTAGTACACAGATAAAAGCAAATCAAGTGCAAGAAAAAGGTAAAAGCCTCCCTTTTGGTTCTCTATGTCCTTCATGATTTTTTTTTATTTATTATTTATTTTTAA